AGATGGGAAATAAAATATAGCATAAAGAATAATAGAGTCTTAAATCTCTAATAATGATAAAAACATCACTTAATGGACTGGTGTGTCAGTTTTCTCTTTAATAAATGAGGATTATGAGTGGTCCTTGGCAGAATCATTAGGAGAAGCTTTTCTTACAAAGTTCCTGTGGTGGTAACCTGCTCTTAGTTCTCTCCTACTTCCACACAGCTCACCAAAATAAGTATATCCAGGATTAGCCAAACAGCAACTTAAAAGCTAAATGATAATGTGCTCTTCTTCCACAATCATACACATTTTTAAAAAAGAAGTACCTGAAGACAGTAATGCTTAACCCAAGGGAATGGAAACTTTAGGCTTTATGACACCTGGGCCAAGAAGTTTTTTGTTTTTTATTTAAGATTTTATTTTTGGGTAATCCCTACAACCAACGTGGGGCTCAAACTCATGACCCCAAGATCATGAGCTGCATGGTTTCTGAGTCTGCCAGGCGCCCCCTCCCCCAAGAAGCTCTTGGACAATAATGTCTGATATTCACTATACTTTTCCCTATCAGTGTTTCTGCCTAAAAATATTGGCTAGTTTCTAGGTGGTAATTCTGTACCGCTTTCTTCTTCAGGAATATTCCTATAGGTCAAAAAAAATTAAGAAATTCTTTTGACTCTAAAAGAAAATATAAATTTAAAATCCTACAATTATTAGAAATAGTATATAGTCTCTCTCCACTATTACTGAAGATTTCAGGTCTTTTAAATGTAATTAAACTTGATGGAAGTTGGTGGTTAGGACAAGGGCTAAAAGGGCTAAAAGCTGATCACTAGAAAGTCCCATATCCTGACTTTGAGAAGAGTGCTAAGAGTGGCGGTGCCAGTGAGGGAGGCAGTCAGGACTCACCGCAAAGCTCACACTTTTCCAGAAAACTCTTCTACTAGCACTGGGTACTGGGTTGGTTGAAAACTTTTTTTATCTAGGGCTTAAAGTAGATGAGTGCACATTTGAAATTTTCCTGTGTATTCCTGATCTGAACTGCTTTTACTTTATTCTGTCATCCCATCAACCTATTAAATTGTTCTAGTTCATTTATTCAGAAGTGTTTACAGAGTACCAACTTTATATCAGGCATCTGAGTGAATATGTGGAAGGAATGTGGATACAAAGATGAAGAGAACAGCGTCCATGTCTTGGGAATGCTCAATGGTGGGTAATTTTGCAGGGAGTCAGGTAGACAGGAAAAATATAAACAAAGCAGTTATAACACCCAGATGATTAAGACCTCTAACAAAGGTATGGACTAAGTACTATGAAAACAATAAGGGGCACCTGGGTGGCTCAGTCAGTTAAACACCCAACTCTGGATTTTGGCTTAGGTCATGATCTCATGGTTGGTGAGTTCAAGCCCCACATCAGGCTCTGTGCTGACAGTGTGGAGGTTGCTTTGGATTCTCTGTCTCCCTCTCTCTCTGACCCTCCCTGCTCTCTCTCTTTCTCTCTCTCTCAAAATAAACAAATAACATAAACTTAAAAAAATAAAAAGATAAACAACACAGAGGTAACTTAAATTAACATCTGACTAAAGAGTAACAAAAATTTGACCAGGTACTAGAAGGGAGGAATATGCTTTAAGAAGAAGAAATAACGTGCAAAGATATTGTGGTTGGGGTCGTGGGAGGAAATGATACCAGAAAAATGTGATAGGCCTCATATGACACGCTAAGTTGTTTATGCAATAGTGTGTAGGGGATGAAAGGACCCTAAACATTTTAAATAGGGAAGTAATATAACCTGATTTAAGTTTTAGAAAAATTAACTCTGATGGCAGTGAGGGAGGTAAACTTGCGAGCCAGAGGCAGGTAAACTACTTTTATGATTATTTCAATAGTCTACATGAGGGATGATGAGGGCCTGAAGTTATGCAATTAACAAGTTAGCATGGAATAGAGGGAATCAGGTGATTCTCAGGTAGGAAACAAAATAGAGATTGACAGCAAAGTGCATGTGAAAAGTAAGAAACAGTGAAGGAATCAGGACAGTGCTGAAATTGCTGAAGACCATTAGTGAGACAGGAAATACAGGAGAATGGAGAGGGCTTTATTTTCAAGGGAGGAATTTTTAACAAAAATACTATGGCAACACACAGAAGAGAGTGATTTAACTTTCTAGAAAGTTGAAGAAGACTTTGTACAGAAGAGATACTTGAACTAGTTGTGTTATTTTGATGAGCATGATTATACTAATAATTTATAGAATATTTATAATGATAAAGTAACTGGCACTGAACTAGGTATTTTAGATGGTAGCCAGGTTATTACTCATATCAAACCTGCCTGTGAAGGCAGTATTACCGTTTGAATTTTTCAACTGAGGAACTTTTGCTTCCAGGGGTTATGTAATTTGCCCCAAATCTCACAGGTAATAAGTAGGAAAGCAGGGATTGAAATATAGGTCTGTCTGACTTGACTACAAAGGCTGCCTCTATCCTCTATGCTGTACTGAATCTTCCTGGACGAGTAAGTTTTTCATGGGGGAAAAGGGTAAAAGGTGCCAAGCAGAGGAACCCATGTATATAAAGGTATTTAGTCTTGAAAGACAGAGCTCTTCTGAAGAATGAGATATTGCAGTGTGGAGTGAAACGGAAAAAGGAGAAACTATGCAACATGCATTATTCTAAAGGCATTATGTGTTTATCTCATCTAATTCTTACCACATTATGAGGTGGCAGTATTATTATCCATATATTATGATCTACATCAGCACAATGTTTTAAAATAAAATGTCCAGGTTCACATACCTACACATTTTGAATCCAGATCCTGAGCTTTTAAACCGCTATGCTATATTACCAAAGATATAGGAGTATCTTATTGTTTAGGATGATCATATATTAGTTTTATAATAAAAATATAATTAGAAATGGGTCATCGAATTTTTTAGTTAGGAAATTACTGGTAATCTTAAAAATAACAATTTCAGCATAAAACTTAGCCACAGTGTATTGAGTAGCACAACAGTGAATGGGGATTGAAAAATATGATAGTGAACACAGATCAGTCATTCAAGAAATTTGGTTGTGAAAGGAAAAGGGGAAATGTGGACCTTTTTAGTTTACATTGTAATTACTGCCTAGAATACTGACATATTTACAAAGGACCTTCAAAAATAATTACTAGTAACAGTAATTTCAGATTATATGGAGAATATTAATACCATCTAACAAAGTCTTATAAGTTGGCTTCCTGGAAGGTTATCCTTTTAAACGCAATTATATAGGTTGATGCCCACATTAACTGTAATGAATATATACTGCCCAATGGAGGGAAATTAAAAATAAAATACAGTAGGTTGAATACGAACAGGAAAGCCTCGTAATATTTTATCTAAGTCTTACTGCTGGAAATCAGAATAAAAGATTTAACATTTACCTCAAAATTTAACATTTAAATTACATAACTGTTTCATTTAAACTCTATCCACTGGTATCATTCCATTAAAACCTTTTGATCTGTCTGTTGTTAAATATGAAGAATAGGACAATATAGTAATTTTTCAAAAGGTTAAACCTGTTCAACTTAAAGCATTATTTGAGATGATGTTATTTGTACTTCTTGGTATATAAAGTTTTTTTTTTATTTTTCACAAAATAATAATAATAGTTGAGGAGATGTAAAAAATAAGAGGTTGATGACGTTTCCAAAGATTTTATAGAAATCTAATTGGTCTCTGGGAAACAGTGTTTAAGGGAATTTTAATCATGAATACAAATTAAAGATTATATGTAAAGAAAACTCTGAAATTTGTAATTATTTGTAGACTTTAAGAGCTAAATTAGATTCTGACTGTCAAAAGTTATTGATTTGTAATCTACAATGATATGAGATCTACTTATGTATCTTAGTGTTTTTAGAATGTTAATGTACATTGTGACTAACTGGGTAACAGTTTCTGACTGAACATAAACCTAATCTTTAAACCTACAAAAAATATAATACTTACCATAAATCACAAATTTCAAGATAACCTGATTGTAAAGATTTTAATAAACATGAATAACTCCTAATCTGTTTTAAAATTGGTCTTAACTACAGATTTACCTGACTTTGGGTTACTATTCAAAGCATAATTTCCAGGATGTTGGGGAAATTTTTGAGATGACTTACTTTCAAATAAGAAGTGTAAGAAGAAAATTTGAAGTTAGCACTACTTCATACTGTGAGACTGAAAAAAATAATTAAGGAAAAAGGTATGTCTTACAAATTAAAGACAATTAAGTGTTGTAATGACATAATGTTATTAACAATACTTGAAGATGGGCTCAGTTAAAATGACAAGTTCTATTACATTAAAGCTGCCTTAGGAAATTCTGCTACAATGTTCAAGTCCCATAAATTAACAAGTGATTTCTTTGTATGATATATGTTAACATTTTGCTAGCTATCATAAGGCTGACTTGTTTTGTAGCTTTATTTAAATTTTAATAAAAATGCAAAGATCATCAGAAATAAACAAATGTAATTATGCACTGTGAAAAGCTGTATTGAATACTTCAGAAGAACAAAACGTGAAAATTAATTCCACTGTAACTATTCTACGTGCCTCGAGGTCTCAGCTTACAAAGTCACTCACAGATGATCTCAACTCAAGCAGGATTATCACAAAGCTAAATAAGTAAAGTTGATTATGTGACTACCTCTTCCCCTTGCCAATAACTTTACTTATTACCTATGAGAGGAGTTTTTCATGTATGGCCTTCATGAACTGATGAAGACCAGTTATTAAGTACAGGTGGTTTGCCCTAAATAGTGGCCATGATTTTCAAGTAAATGACCCCAAATATGGATATGATAAGCAATCTAAAAAATAACAAAATTCATTCTTCTCAATCTCCTTTGTCTGAAACCACCAACAGTATGAATAATAAATACTATATTATTTTAGTTGTCAAAAGAAAGTGTTCTGGTTTTGTTTTGTTCCAGGCTTTTGAAATAATGCAAGATCATTTTACTTACTTCTGAACTTTGTCATTGGCCGCTTGGGAGGCCTCCATGGCATGCTGAAGCTCTAATTCCATGTTTGCTCGATCTGTCAGAGCTTGCTGCAGTTGGATAGCCAGTTCCTCATTCTGCTGTTGAGTGATGGAAACAATGTTTTCTCTATTTTTTAAAGCTTCTTCATAAGTACCAAGGGTATGGTTAAACTGATCCTTCAGACTTTCTTCTTGGGATAAAGATTTATGTAAGCTGAGAAAAACATAAAAATAAATAATTTCAACATAAACATGCAGTCTTACTGACCAATAATCTACTTAACAAAAATCTCCAGTTAGATATACCCATTTCTAAAAGTCAATTGAGACATACTTAAAAGGGTAAATAAAAATAATTTTTATATCACAATATTATCCTTGATAATTATTATATTTCTCTGCTTCTAGGCTGAAAGCTACCCAGACAAATGATTATTGATGTTACCAGAGCATACAAGAAGATGCTGCAAGATGTTAGTTTAATTACATCAGTGTAAATATTACATTCAATTTTCTTTAAAAGGAATAGCAGAGAATTAGAAAATAAAGCACCTCTAGGTAAATAAAAGAATATAATAAGCTGACTGCAAAGAAGTGAGAAGTAAGAGAATGGGCATCAGTTTAGTAGATCCAGGGTTTCTTCCGCTGAGCACTTAACGAGAATGAATGAGGTTTGTACAAATACTGATCAGCCCATACACAGATAGAAATGAAGTTAAAATCACTACTCTGACTGCACAAAAATAATATGTATTCAGATATACTTTCTTTTTGTTAATGAATCTCATGCCAAATATATCCACTCATTAAGTCATACAGAGAAATAGCATATAAATTAAGACTAAATGAATGCAGAAGAAAATGCAGACAAATAGAACCCTAAAATGCTAAAGGTCAAATCTTTGATATGTCATTACACCTACCACCTGAGGTTATTTTGAAATGGCACCAAGCACCTCACTCAATTAAATAAAGACATTTTGAAAATATAAATATTTAATAAGGGAAATTTAAAATCCACACAGGAGATGTTCTTTTTTTATTAAATAAAATCATTTCGGTATATGCATACAAAAGAAATGTCGATGGGAGACTTGAAGTAAAACAACCTAACTATATAATACAGATTGATGATGTGAAAAAAAGTAATATAAATCTTAAAGCTGCAAAAAGCTAGTAGGGAACTTTAGCACTGGCCAAATATCTAGTCTGATATTTTATTTAAAACTGTTCAAACTAAAGTAATTATAAATTTCTTCTTTTGTTTAAGTAACCTATAAATCTCTCCAGTGTGCTCACTTTGTAGGTGTCACATAGAAATAAGGACATACAACAGGGACACTTAGCATACCGAAATAAATTATTTCAAGATTCAACTTAGTTCCTAAGAAGAAAGACTGCTATTAAACTGTGGTCAATTGATTACTACATAAAAATAAGAATGATGTTTAGTGCCGTATTTGTAGAGTGCAAAGAAGTATCTTTATGATTCTCACACCTTGTTATTTACTAACCCTGATTTCAATTCTCAGTTCTTTCTACCAATCCATATTCCTGTCTCTTGCCTATTTCCCTATTCTTTCTATGTTCTTTCACACTTTGATTCCTCTTATTCTATGTTCCAGTTTCCTTCAATCCACCCTCTTTGTCTACTTGAGAGATCCAAGAAAGACAAACTACAAACAAAATCAAAACCTTTAAGAAGACAAGTTTATTTATGTTCTTTACATTTAAAAGATTATAACTTACATTTTAATTGTGAATTATATTTTAAATCACATAAAGTGCACAAATCTAAAGTATTCAGCTTGACAAAATGTAAAGAACAAAATATATAACAAACCCAGAAGATTCTCCCATATTCCCTCCCAGTTAATTCCCCTCTCCCAAAGTAATCACTTACCAACATCTATTAAGATTAGTATTGCCTGCTTTTGAACTGTTTGTCTGACTTATTTTACTTAATAAGGCTTATGAGATTTGTCCTATTGTTGCATGCACTTCATTGTTTTTACCGCTATGAAGTATTGTTGTATAATGGAAACCAATTTTACAATAAATTTCATATATTGAAGAAAAAAAAGTATTGTATAAATAGAAAACAAAATATATTTAATCATTTCACTATTATGTTGCTATTAATATTTTTTTATTTTTGATTAAAAATCTTTTTTAAGTTTTTCATTTTATTTATTTAGAGATGGAAAGAGAGAGAGGGAGAGAGACAGAGAATCCCAAGCAGGCTCCACACTGGCAGCGTGGAGCCCAGTGTGGGGCTGGAACTCACAAACCACTGTTAGATTATGACCTGAGCCAAAACCAAGAGTCTGATGCTCAACCAGCTGAAGCCACCCAGGCACCCCAAAGTTTTTAAAATTAAAAAAAAAATTTTTTTTTAATTTGAGAGAGAGCATGAGCAGAGGAGAGGGGCAAAGGAGGAGAGAGAAAGAATCCCAAGCAGGCTCTACGCTCCGCAGAGGCCAACATGGGGCTCAATCCCACAACTCTGGGATCATAACCTGAGCTGAAACCAAGAGTTGGACGCTCAACTGACTGAGCCACCCAAGGCACCCAACGCACCCTGCTATAATATTCTTGTACATTACCTTTTGAAGGACCTAAGCACCCAAACCCCACTTTCTTGAGATATAATTGACATAAGTACTCATTTCTGAAGTAGAATTGCTCCATAGGGTGTATGTATGCTCAGATTTAGTACATGATGCATAGAGTGCATAGAGTTTCCCCAAATGGTCCAACCAATTTACACTCCCACCAGCAATGTATGGGAGTTCCAATTGCTCTATATTCTCCCTTAGAGTAGGATTGCTAGTCTTTTTCACTATAGTCATTCTAGTAGGGGTACAGTGCAATTTCATTCTTTTCATATTGTCTTTTGCTGAATGTAAGTTCTTAATTTGAATAAAGCCCAATTAATCATTGTTTCTTTAATGGCAGTGTGCTTTTTGCCCTTTTAAAAAAAAACTGTAGCCTAACCATTCCTATATATTTCACATACATGGTCCCATTTAAAATTCACAGTGAGCAGCTTCATTTGAAAATTCTGCATTTGTCTATGATGTCCATGACACTACTCAGTATACTCTAGCCAATTAAATATGAAGAATCAATGTTTCAGGGGGACGTGGCTCAGTCAGTTAAGTGTCCGACTCTTGATTTCAGCTCAGGTCATGATCTGACTGTGAGATGGAGCTCCATGCTGAAAGCACGGGGTCTGCTTGGGATTCCCCTCTCTCCCTTCTCTCTGCCCTCCCCTGCTCACCCTCTTTCTCTCACTCAAGTAAATAAACATAAGGAAAAAAATCAATGATTTTTAAAAATTTCATCTTTATTAAAATCTTGGTATCCTGACTTCATTCTCTAATCATTTATCACTTACTAGTCTTCTATCATTTAAATTTTTTTTTCAAATTTACATCTCATTTTTCTATTGGATGGACCCATGACTGGGATCCTTTACTCTCAAGTTCAACAAGCTACTCATCATTCAAAATGCCTTGGAGACCTTTAAATTCCCATCAAGACTTTCTCAAACAGAAGCAATCGCTGGAGTGATCTTTTAAAACAATAAATCAGGGGCGCCTGGGTGGCTCAGTCGGTGAAGCGTCCGACTTCGGCTCAGGTCATGATCTCTGGGTTCATGAGTTCAAGCCCTGCATCAGGCTCTGTGCTGACAGCTCAGAGCCTGGAGCCTGTTTCAGATTCTGTCTCTCCCTCTCTGACCCTCCCCCGTTCATGCTCTGTCTCTCTCTGTCTCAAAAATAAATAAACGTTAAAAAAAATTTAAAAAACCCCAATAAATCAGATGATGTCATTTATAATCCTGCAGTGGCATCTCATTGCACTCAGAAGAAATCTCTCAAAATAAAACAACAAATTGCCTATTTAAACTCACTAAACCTCACAACAACTTATGAGAGAAGTCCTATCAATATTAGATTTTTATAGAGAAAGAAATTGAAACAATCAGGGGGAAGTAATTTAATTAATCTCACACATCAGACAGAACCAGAATCTGAACCCACAGTCTTTCTCCCTGAGCTGAAATACTCCTCCCTGGAGGCCACAGAGCCACAAAGTCTTGTATCATCTGTTCTCTCTTCCTCCTCATCGTTTAGTCTGACATTCTGTTTTTCAGGTACATCAAGCTTTTTCTTGTTTGAGGATTTGTTTGTAATGCTGTCTCCTCTCTCTGACAAACTTCCTTTTTCATTTGGTCTCAGCATGAATACTGCTTTCTCAGATAAACCTTTTATGACTCCTCAATCTAAATTTTGGTGTTCCTTCTTCGTTATTCTGTTTCAGTGACCTTACTCTTTATCTTCTTAGAATTTTGAATAATTTGTAATTTTTTTTTCAGTTTCATCTTATGATCTACTTCCTAATTCCAACATATATATATATTTTTTTTTTTTAGAATTTTTTTTCAACGTTTTTTATTTATTTTTGGGACAGAGAGAGACGGAGCATGAACGGGGGAGGGGCAGAGAGAGAGGGAGACACAGAATCGGAAACAGGCTCCAGGCTCTGAGCCATCAGCCCAGAGCCTGATGCGGGGCTCGAACTCACGGACCGCGAGATCGTGACCTGGCGGAAGTCGGACGCTTAACCGACTGCACCACCCAGGCGCCCCACAATTTTTTGGTCTTAAATGATGTTGTATTGGAAAATATTTTAAGCCATAGTAGAATAAATTATAAAACAATGGCAGAAGAGCCATTAAATCACTCTCAGAAATTCCAAGGCATGTGGCTTACACAATTTTGATTGACAAAGAACGGGAACTATTTCTGTTTATCATGAAGTTAATGAGGTAATATCGTATACCAAGTTTCAATTCACTCTTCCAGTTTTCAAATTATGTAATTCTTTAATTTTTGTAATTTGTATAGAAAGTGAGATGTCTTCTTTTTCCTTATATATGATTTCTTTTTTTTTTTAATGTTTTTTTTCCTTGCTATCATTTATTTTTTATAATTTACATCCAAGTTAATTACCACATGGTGCAACAATGATTTCAGGAGTAGATTCCGTAAGCCCCTTACCCATTTAGCCCATTCCCCCTCCACAACCCTCTGTTTCTTCTCCATTTAAGACTCTCTTATGTTTTGTCCCCCTCTCTGTTTTTATATTATTTTTGCTTCCCTTCCCTTATGTTCATCTGTTTTGTCTCTTAAATTCCTCATATGAGTG